GTGAGAAAGACTCCTGAAAATCTGTATTATTATTATTAAATGCCCAGGGACTGCAGATTAACATTATACAAATATTTAAAAAGCCAAGAGAATACAAAATTAAAAAAGCTAAAATACAATAAGACTTAATGACAAAAAGATAAAATATGAACCGTGTGTGATATGAATAGATATTTGATTTAATAAAAGACAATCTTGAATTAAAGGTCCCCTATAATATTATTTTTCAACAATATATTATAGTTCTAAGTTATATACAAAACATGTCTCTGAAGCGTTTGGCTGAAATACCAAACAGATTTGCAGCATCCCATAATCCCCTCTGTTTCAGCCCTGTTTCAAAAGTGCTGATTCGCTGTCTGTATCTTTAAATGCGAATGAGCTGCTGCTGGCCACGCCCCTCTGAGGAGTGATTGGTTTAAAAAAACACAATGGTGCTCTAGGAGGAGATTCAGGTGATAAGAGGGGCGGGTGTTACCTTGGTTGGTGATTGGCTAATGGTTGCACCACCCAAAAAAAAGTTATGACATCATAAAGTGGCCAAAATCTGATCAGCTGATTTTCAGACAGGTTTTTATATAGATGGATCAGGACAGAAAGAGAGGTAATCTTTTTACTTAGAGGGGACACATGTTGATGTAGAAAATACATGAAAAAGTGGATTTTGAACAATAGGTGGCCTTTAATAGAAGTGAGAGTTTTCTGGTAGTTTGTTGCAGATATATAAAACCTAATATCTAAACGCTCCCACATCAAACCCCTCAAATTATTTATTTACATCTTATGTTGATCATTTCCGTTTTGTATTCTCTCTCTGCAGATTTGTGGTGGGGCAGCTGATGTTGAAGGATGCTCCAGCTCCCCCTGTGGTGGTCTTGGTTGTGTTGGGGGGGACGGAGCGCCTCAGTGCGGCGAAGGATGCAAAGGCCTCCGCTCGACATCCCACTCTGCTCTAAAATCCTCTGAAGATTTGGACGAGAAGCTCCTGGAGGCGATGCAGGAGGTGGACAAGCTCTCCAGGATGGTGAGTGCACGCGGCCATTTTGAATCTAGAATAACTTGAGGTGGAGACGAGTCATTCATTTTGTTTTTGACCAGGTATGGGAAGCCAACAACCGCGCTAAGGACGCAAAGGTGAACGCTCTGGAAGTGCTGGGGAAGTCAAACCGGAGCAAAGAGCGGGTGGAGCAGAGCAACGAGCAGCTGCGCACCCTCATCAAAGAGATACGAGACCTGCTCACCAGTGAGTGCGCACACACACACACACACACACACACACACACACACACACACACACACACACACACACACACACACACACACACACACTGCTTAGTATCTTTAAATGCAAAATCATGTATGTTTGAGATATTTTGAGCTTGAACTATTACAGTCACACATTTTTTGTTACAGTGATTTATTAATTAAGACATTTTTGAATATGGATGTAGCTGCCTATTGCAATATATGTTTTAACAAAAGACAACTTAAATGCTAATGTCAATAAATCCCATTTTATTGAGGAATGGACCTTAATGTTAAGGATACAATTTGATGTGAACACTAGGAAAACATTGACTACGTATTTGTGCATAATTGCATTGTACCAAGTGTGTTAAACCTTTCATGATAACTCATATTTTGAATCTTGAAATATGAAACATTTCCTCAAAATGTAAATATAGCAAAATGGGAGTTTGGTAAAAAATATATATATTTTAGGAGTTGTCAAATATTGTTCAGTTTTTTTATCCATTCATCACTTTACAGTTGTTCATGCGTTGGTCATTTGCATATCATTTTCTTACTGATCACCTGTGTTTCGTTCATGATTTTGCAGATGAGAAGGCAGATGTGGCGGTGATCGAGGCGGTGTCCAACGAGGTGTTGGCTCTGGAGATGCCGGCGTCAACGGGAAAGCTGAAGGAGCTGACGGAAGAGATCAGGGAGAAGGTGAGCTCTCTGAGTAACGTGGAGACCATCCTGTGGCAGAGCGCTAGAGACATCCAGGTTGCAGAGGAGCTGCTCAAACAGGCCCAGGCTGCCAGGTAAGATTAAAACATCTTCAAAACAAATATAAATATATGTTGTGTCAGACATTGTCTATATAGAAGATTCTAAAAGTATTAATGTGTCAACAGTGAGGAGGCTTCTCAAATGAAGGGGACAACGGACATAGTGAAGGCGGCGCTGGATGAGACTGAGCGTGCTCAGAACATCGCCATGGACGCCATCCAGCTCGCCCAGAACAACACAAAGGGAACCCTGGAACTGCTGGTCTCCGTGAGTTTGACATCTCTGACCTCTGTCACTAAGCTACTGTTGTAGGGAGGATACAAATGACTATCCGCAGTGTTTGATAATGTGTGTGTGTGTGTGTGTGTGTGTGTGTGTGTGTGTGTGTGTGTGTGTGTGTGTGTGTGTGTGTGTGTGTCAGGTGGAGTCGGAGACGGCCATGTCGGAGCTGAAGCTCAGTAACACCACGGGGCGCCTGCTGCAGATGGAGAGGGAGGTCGGCCTCCTGAGGCAGAACAACCTGGAGGTGACCCGCCTGGCAGAGGGCGCCGACCGGACCACCGAGCAGGCCCAGCTGAACGCAGAGGAGGCCCAGCAGGTCAGAAGCGCACACACACACACACACACACACACACATACACACACACACACACACACCTATAGTTGGAAATGCGTATGGATAACCTATACTATATTAATCCATTTCACATGGTTATAGTTGGTTGTGCAGAAAACTTGCACCATTGTATTACTTTCTCTATTTTATTGCAATACTTTGTTTCTCTTCATGTCTTAGTTATACTGTATGTTGCATTGTTGGAGGAGCTTGGGACTAAAGATTTCTTTGTTACACTGGAACTATTGCGTAGAGAATATAGAACCATTTATAAGATACAACAATCCCTGTTTTTAAAAATATGAATGCACATGTTTGATAGATACATTCTATTCATACCTAGTAAACCCAAAGATATGAAACATTATGTAGACCAAAGAACATGAACTACAATCTAATAACAAATTCTGATTTGAAATTGAAGCATACCTATACTTGGAAATGCGTATGGATAACCTATACTATATTTAATTTCTTTTATAACATACTATTATACTTTATTATAACTTTTATTTATTTTTTATATATGCACAATAGTTACAGTGTAATAAAGAAATCTTTAGTCCCAAGCTCCTCCAACAATGCAACATACAGTATAACTAGGACATGAATAGAAACAAAGTGTTGCAATAAAATAGTAACACTGATACAATGGTGCAAGTTTTATGCACAACCGACTATAACCATGTGACATGGATTTAGATAAGACAGGATGTACAATTTAAATGAACAAAGTAAAACATGTTCTGTTCTCCCATCAATGCTTCTTTGTGCGTATGCAGGAGTTCGACGTGGAGGTGAAGGATAAAATGGTGGAGGTGCAGGACCTGGTGGAGGACAAAGGGGAGACGGTGCTGCAGGCCAAGAGGAGAGCAGACACGTTACAGAGGGAGGCCAAACAGCTGCTGGATCAGAGCAGCATGCAGCTGAAGAGACTGGAGGGTGAGCCATTTACAGATGTTTTGACCTTTTTCAGTATTTCTCATTTAGATTCTTTGAAACTTCATGATTTTTGAATAAACTACTCTGTTGTTATTTTTGACAATTTGACATACTACAATCTTTTTTCAGCATACCATACATTTTTTTCTTTGATATTTTCGACATACTATACCATGTCTTAAAAAGTGTTTATGTGACCACTCTCCAACAACAACAAGCCACAAACTGCTCCCCACATTGACGTCACTATGTTTCCAGAGGTGGAGAGTTCCTACGAGTCCAACCAGCGGATCCTGGAGGAGAAAGCTGCAGAGGTGGTGGAGCTGGAGAGAAGGGTTCGGCAGGTCCTGGAGGAGATCAGCTACAAAGTCACGCTGTACAGCACCTGCAATTAACTCCTCCACCTGCAGCAACCTCTCGTCCTCATGAGCACTGCTGGGATTTATTGGTGCCAAATGTTTTTAAAGCATTCCCAAGTACTGCTCTCAAAGTATTTTACAGCTATTAGGAGCAAACACTGTCATATAATTGACTGCTCAACACTCCAGTGTACCAGTATATTGTCCAGCTGTACCGAAAAGGATTTGAAAAGCTGCCAAAGACCATCGAAGTATTTAAGTATCGAGTCCAAAAGAAAACCACTAAAAGCCAATGTGACCTCAGCGCTCGAAACCAAGAATGTGTAGAGAATATAGAACCATTTAGCTTCATGAGATATCACAATCCCTGTTTTTAAATATATGAATGCACATGTTTGATAGATACATTTTATACAAACTTAATAAGCCCAAAGATATGAAACATTATGTAGACCAAAGAACATTTGTGAATGGTTTTGCGACTACAAACTACTAATAAATTCTGATTTGAAAATGAAGTTAACGAAGCATTCCAGTTGGTCTTTTATTTTTGGTTTATTGTGGATTGTCCACTTTAGAAAATCACTTTTTTTCCATGTATAATTTTCTATTCACGAGGGTTTGATCAGTGACACCTGAGTTAATCAATATTTTTGATCTTACTATAAAACACCCCATAATTGTTTCGCTCTTTTTAATCTGTTTAGGTTCTTATTTGTGATTTCAAAGCACATGTCGATGGCCCCAAGAAGTGTGCTTACAAGATCTCTGTTCAATGTATTGACTGTATGAGGCTGAACAACACTGCCCCCTAAAGGCAAAGAACAGGAACTGCAGAGATGGTCAAATCCAATAATCAAAGTTTGAAGCTTTGAAGCTTTCCACGGGTATTTCACTTAGGGAGCATAATTAAAATACCTTTCTTTCCCCAATAACTCCTTGCTCGCTTGAAAAATAGTATGTCGAAGTATCATGACAATTACATTAAGTACTTTAAAGGGTCTTAAACTCAAGACCAAAACTTTTAGAGACTAGAGAAATTACCTGTTAAACTTAAACAAACAATATTTACAATAACAGAGAAACATTTTATTTGCATTATTTGGCATTCAGAAGAACAGTTTTTCCTAAAATAAAGCATCTTCTGTGAAGTTAATTCCATATAACAAAAGATTAGTCCTAAAACACAGGCTCAACTCATACAGTACTGGCAACAGAGAACACTTACACTTCTGTAGTCAAACTAACACCTGTGCTGTATGTTAAAGAAAATATTGTAATTACTTAACAGTGTGATCTTATGGCTCTGTTATCATGTAGCACAGCAATAGCAGCAGCAATATTCATGTGGGTTTTTAGGTTTATCATATTTGCACAATGGTTTTACCTATGCGGTTTAAAGGCCAACGTCGAAATTGATATTTATTGGTTTTACTGCCCAAAGAATGATAATCATTCAATGTATTTTAAGAGTTGAATAGAGTGATGCAGGAGTCCTAAAACCCAGAAATGAGTTAGCATTTCAGATTCCCTCGTCTCAACTGCTTTAGAAGCATGAAATAAGCTCTACACCATAAAGCATGTCGGTAAATAACCACTGGTGAACATATGAAGCGTCTATGCGTCTAAAAAAAACAGCAGTTGCTAACAAGTGGCTACATGAGACGACTGACCTGATGAACGTGATTACGCAAGAAATTAGCCGGCGTTAGCGACAGAGCTAATTTACTGCAATAATCCGAGATCCAATGGAAAAAACCCTATGAGTGTTGTTGAGGGAGCGATGCTAACTTGTGGTTTGTTCTACGAAAATAAGTCATCCCTGCACCACTCTATTGTTGAAAGCAAAATCTGACATCAAAAAATGCACAACAAGGTGAAACGTAGCTTTTTTTGTTCAAATTATCTGATGAATTTTAGCAGCTTAACAAGGCAGGGTGACAAATCCTCCCACAACACGCTGGAATGATCTCTGTTTTTAAACATCTGGTGTAAAAATATACGGAGTTGTGGTTGAGAGGGACCCTCACATCTGAATCTTTAATCAAAACCCCCTCTATACCTTTTACCGACTACAGCTATGACGCTCCAGAACATGAACAACTTCACATAGGGGCTGTAAAAGTGCTTTGGATCTATTTTCCTTTAGCTTTTAGGGGTAAAAACGTGGGGGTCTAGTCCCTGCTGCGGGGGCTGTGTGGAGCCGGGGCCCCCTCCACCGGGGCCGAGCTGGGGACGGAGAGCAGCTGCCCGGCGTGGATGCGCTCGTTGACACGCAGCTCGCAGCCGTCCTGCAGCATGCGCAGGGCGATCCGGGCGATGTTCTTGGAGTCGTCCAGCCCGGAGTGAGGGCGGCCCTCGTACTTCAGACCCAGCTTCTCCAGCATGGTGCTGAGCTTCGTCTGCGTGCGCGGGACCTGAGCCAAGGGGGGGGGGATGAAATTAGCTCAAATGTAAGACTTAAATAGTGTACGCATCTCACATTTTTTATACTACATTCTCACATTTTATTCTTTTTGAAAGCATCTCTAAGGACTAGGGTTGGGTACCGGGAATCCAACATTTTGATTCCAACGGCATCATTTAGACATGTGAATTTCGGTTCCGCTTTTCGATGCCTGAGGAAATGTTTCTCGCCGCTCTCCGTAGCCTACTGTATGACTGCGGCGGGGCGGGAAATGTAGCGTTGTACCTACACTTCCTACAGCGTAACCTGGGACCAGGGCCGGCCCGTCGCACTAGCATTATAGATGTTCGCCTAGGGCGCCAGATCTGTGGAGGCGCTGCGCTGACAGCTCTGGGAGAAAAAAAAAAATGTTTTGACCGTTGGTGCTCATCCTAATTTTCGGCCTTGATGTAACAACATTCATAATTAAGTAAATGTAACACCCTTTTTATCCCGGTTACACTTTTCATTTGCCCTGTACGATGGACGCTGTAAGTGATGAAAATGGGGGATGTTGGCTTATCTGGCAGCCGCAGCTCACAGCCAACGTGCGAGTGAGCGTGGGAGCGAGCGAGGGAGAAAGGGAGGGTGCACCGGTATAAGCGCTGTTGTTATTAGCATCTGGTGCTAGCTGCTCTAACGGAAGAAGATGTTTCTACAATGATGTGGAGGGAGAGTCCTCTCCAGTCAGACTGAGAGGCTGATAACTACAGCTCAGTGAGGTAAGGACTCTGAGTGTTTAGATAGTTCACTTTAGTCTAAGTTATCTCAGTGGGTCTCAAACGTTTTGATCACAATTTATGTTAACACATATTTCCAAGGCATTCCTTTATAATTATTGGGATAAAACAGGTTTGCAATCATTCCAATGTATAGGCCTACTATAGGACAGTAAACCAGACATATCGTTTTAAACTGGAGAGATAAAACAATATAAATAAATAAAATAGTAAAATAAGGTATGAATGAACAACAAAAATAAAATACGTTACATGTATTTGTTATTGGCTATGGTAGGTTATTGGTTATGTTCACATACTTATGTAATTATTAAAATGTAAACCGATCTTTTTCATATGGGTGTTTAGAGTTGTACCCCCTAGATCTAGTCTCTAGTAATTCTGTGTAAGTGCACCAGATTGAAGCATTTTACTTTATAATGTTCAAACATTTCTTCCCGGTATGCCTGAGAAGGCAGATATGCTTGTTTTTCTCAACAAGAACTGTTTTTAAATGGGGGGGGGGGCTCCTTTAAAATTTGGCCTGGTACACTGTTGTAGCTTCAGTGGTTCTCCGGTTACAGTTACATAGCAGTGAATATAAACAGACTAATTAATGTGAATATTACTGCAAACTAACCTGTGTAAAAGTTTCTCGAATAAATGTAATTTTTTTGGTGGAAGAAGCATGTATCATTTTTTTACCCTGCCCCTCAAAGAATCGGAATTGAGAACCGTTAAGAACCGGAATCGAAAAGTAGAATCGGAATCAGAAACGTGGAAATTCAAACGATACCCAACCCTACTAAGGACGCCCTATAACTATATTATGACATGGCATTTTTAATGACATACTATATTACAATTCTGTTTTGTGTTTTTATGATTAACTATGATTTGACGAAAAGCAGTATTTCAGATTCTGAGATACTCTAATGATAAACTATACAATGACATAAATGCTATTTTTAATGACATACAATTACATATTTATTTTGCATTTTATTGACATACAATGACTCTTTCGAGGTTTAAAATGCCTTTTTCACGACTACTCAGTTGTATATAAGAGTACAACTTTGTTTAGGGTCTGCAATAGTGCGGCGAAATAACTAATATTAACATAACATGTAATAACACTATGCAATAAAATACAATATAATATATTTGCGTATATATAAAGTGCAGGGCTGTGTGTGTTTTTTAATGTTCAAATGTACATATGTGTCTGCTGTTGTTGAGGAGAGAGTTGTTAAGACATACCATTTTAAATAACGTATATAAAGTATTTTGTATAATATTGTTGTTGTTCTATGCAATGACTGCATTCTTCTTTTTTTATAAAAGATTCTGACCTTGTAGAAGTTCCCGTATGATTTCCTGATGTTTATCCACTTCTTTGCAAACTGAGGATATCGGATCTTGCTGAGCCGACACTGGATGTTGAGGAACTTGCTCATGTCCCAGGCCCTGAAAAGTAAGTGTGTAAGTAGCGTAAATGGAAGAGGCACAAATTACGTTTCAAATTCTGCAGCGTTACTGAACTCAAACGTACCCGTCGGTCAGGATGGCGTACTTGTACTTTGTCCCGAGCTCCCTCTCCTGAAGCCAGTCGACGACCCGCTGAAGAACGGCAGGAAACACGTCTGCTTCTTCCACCATTTTCTGCTCAACAAAACAACAACTTACACACAAACTCCTGATCACAGTAATGACACTGACTACAAAAGTACCCAACCTACCTGTGTGATTCCTGTTAGCTTCACACAAAAGTCTGAAAGCTGTAGGTTCAACTCTGGCTTCACATATTCCTGAAAGGAGTCCACCTGTAAATAATAATAAAAAACACTATTGTTGGAATTTGGATCATAGCGTTTGTGTTAATGTTGACCATTTGAAATGAATTGGAAATGAAAAATTGGCAGTCAAAAAAAGGTATAGCATAAAGCGTGTACAGTGTGACATTACAAACACCACTTCTACGATTAACAAATCAAGCTCCACTCACGATTTCCAAGGTGTGCGTGTTGATAAGAACCATGGGGAACTCAATGATTTCATGATGGAAATCTGAGGGATTATCCTCTTCACACGTTGCTTCAAAGTCCACCACGCAGATGTAGTCGTAGTAGGTGTCGGTGGGGCTGCTCTCGGTGGAAGACTGCATCAGCTTCTGCTTCTTATAGTGGCTCTTCAACCTCTTCTTCATCACGTCCTTCACCCCTCTGTAGACACAGGGGAAAGGAGGTTTGGTTACAGTTCTGTTGTGACGCTCAGCGGCAGTCAGTACAGGCTGAGTGTATGAACTGAGAATGCTGCATAGAAATCAAATGCATTGATTTCTCTCACTGGTGTGGGGTAAGAAAGATAGTGTGTGTTTTGAAGCGTTGAAGAATCTGGCGAGAGTGTTTTATCTTCAAAGATTCAACAAAGGAAGATCCTTTATAACTGTACCGTTGGACTATATAACTAAGTCAAGTCTTAACTTCTGTTTATACTCTTTACATTAACACACATTTATATTTTTCTAAATGTTCTTTTAATGTTTATTAGCACGAATGTTCACACATACCACATATCATATTTTTGCATATTCCCGCCTAGCAGTTACAATGTGCATATTATTAAAAGGCATTTTTTTATATTTAAGTGTAATATTTCCTCTTGTCTATATTTTGGTCTTTGAAAACACGAAAGGAAACGCCTTGTATGTGAAAGCATTCTTGGCAAAAACAGGATTCTGATTCTACTATCCTAAACTATATTATGTTGGTATATCATACTAACATCAGTATTATGAAATGTCTATATAAATACTGAAAAACACTGGTGTTTGCTAGGGTTGGGAACACTAACATCCTAAATACAAAACGCCTGGGTAATAAAGAATAATAATATTACCCCTTTTAATATGAATTTAAAGTACTTTCTCTATCTGTATGTTTTATATATTTGCGCTGCTGCAAAATGATGTCCCCAATGAGGATAAATAAAGTCTTATCTTATCTTTACTGTTCATCTTTACCTTGTGTCCAGCTGCAGCGCTTCTAACTTTATCCGCAGCTCGTCCTTGGTCATGCGGTTGATGTGTCCGTTAGCCAGAGAGATCTCTTTGTACACCGGGTGGCTGAAGTCGCTGCTGGACTGAGACGGGGACACCTGAGGAGCAGACTCTCCCTCGGGACAGATCCTACTGCAGGGCTCTGTCTGAGGAGGAATATAACAGTGGGTCCAAGAATCAGAACTCAGAGCAAACATATCAAATGACTCTCTCGATGTTTTGATGATGGTGGTACCGGTGTTTCCTTTACTCATCACCAAATTGTGTTTTAAACCAGAAAATAAAGAACAAAAAAAATGTCCGTTTTTGAAAGATTTAGCAGCTGGTTTAAGGAGTCAGATACATACAAAATATTCTCAACATTAACCTTATATATAGATAAAGCCACCCAGCAATATATAAAGGAAAAATAGTCCCTTATTCACCAGCTGCAACAGTAAAGTGATCTAATTTCTCATTGGGGATTAATAAAGTAGTATTCTTTCTTCAATAGATCCTCAAAAAACGAAATCACACCATAAACATTTAATACATTTGTTCACTGATATATTGAATATTGAGTGAGTATTAGGATAAAAAAATTATCAAACCCTCCAATTTCATGAATATAGCAATATCAGTTAAACAATAATGGCAGTTATTGTATTCCAAATGGTGCATCACTGTAATTTAGATTTTGAATGCAATACTTTCTATTTTGCACTGAGCTATTACAAATGTTACTTGTTTTGGTGCAAGATCAAGGACTTTGATACCACTTTTCATTAGATTTATGTATCTTCAATGTAATGTAGTAAACTACAAACGTGTTGTAGTTTCATATAACAATATCTTTATATTACAGTATTTCCACATGAAGCTAATTTTCGCTGCTAGCACCAACCTTTTCATCCTCTTTTGTGTTAGACATCTTCCCGTTGACGTCCTTGGTGTGAATGTTCTCCTTGTGCTCATCCATTTATAGTGGACGTTAATCCAGAAACGAGTATTAAAAAAACAACTTTAGTTAATTTACCAGTATGAAGATAACGTTACCATCTAACAGTATGGCTTCACAGGCTAACACATGCTAACATGATAGCATACATCTCTCTTCTTCTTCGCTGCTCTGCACTTTAAGACTCTACTTACGATACTAATGTGTTGAGTTGTAATTATTAGTTAGGTGAATAATAATTAATAATAACGCGTTTAATTGATCATATTAATATTTCAGCGCCAGTCAAACCACAGCATGAGCAACTTTTTTTTAAGGTGGACAGTTGTGACGACTTCCGGTTTGCGCCAAAACAAACGGAAGCTCACTATCGCCATCTATTGTAGTGGATGAAACAAGAAATGTCTAAACAAATATTTGGCATATTTTATCTTTTTTAAAACATAATATTAATAATATAAATTGAGGTGGACTATTATAATATCAGGTTTATCGATATTAATACTTCAGTGACTACAGGTATTGTTAACTGAATAAATAATACAAGATATAATGCCCAAGATATCGAGATGTATTTAATATAAACTGTTGTAATCCCACTTGTTTTTATTTTTGTTTGTGTACTTATATCTCTGATTCGGTAAGTAAATGCCATTAAAACATCACAAATCAATATCTATAATTAATATTTATATAAAGTTGTAATAGATATTGGCGTGTAATTGGAGACAATGCTCATATATGACAGCTAGATGGCAGTCTATTCCTGACTAGATAATAATATAGTGTACTGTAGTACCAGAGGTGGGAGTGAGGTCCAATAACCCCAGTTACCGCATTTAAATCAGTTAAAAATATTGTGGTTATGAAAAGTTTTGTTTTATTTTCAACATAAACTGCAATGGAGAGTGGGGCGCTGAAATGATAACCCTATAAGCTCTAAAAGGGCTCTAAAGTGATAACAGGACTACAACACAAATATTTTACATCAACATGTTAAGCCTCCTGCCCTGGCTCCCCTTCAACAGGGTCACAGCCTGTCTCATGTCTAAGGTGCTCCCATATGACACTCTCTCTTTGCTTTCCTAACTTTGTGTGCACAAAGAAATATTGCATCAAAGTCATTACAACGGAATAATGTATGTACCAGTGCGCATGATATATGTGTGTGTGTGTGTTGTGTGTGTGTGTGTGTGCGCGCGCGCGTGCGCGCGTGTGTTTGTGTGCAGACAGTGCGACTTTAGATTAAACGAATTTCTTTCATTTGGGAACACCCACATATACATATGGATTTGGCCAGATGTGTGTAAATTACTGTTCATGGTAATTTGAAAACAAATGCCGTTGTCGGACACACACAAACACACCAAACACACCAAACACACACACACACACACACACACACACACACACACACACACACACACACACACACACACACACACACACACACTGAGCAGAGCACAAACACACACACATATCATGCGCCTTAACGACCGGACATCTCCTTCATACAACGAGTAATAGGGGGATTAATCGGGCAGCTCGATGTGTGTAGAGGTGTGTGTGGTTAAAACGTAGCAGCCTGCGGTCGCTCTTTAGCTGTTTTAATGAAAGTAAACACAGTGAAGGCGTTGCGTAAAAGCCAAAGCCCTTTGCGCGCTGATGCTGCACTTCAGAGGCGGAGTTACACGTCCCACTGCCTCCTGGTCCTGTAGCGATTTATAAAATAATGTATGCATTGCCATTTCCCAACATAAACATAAAAGTATGCAATGAAACGTCTCCTGTGTGCTCCACTTCCTACTTGGTAACTTTCTCGTGCGAACGATACAATATCTTTCTTTTTTTTCATTGCCCTTTAGGGGCTCCGTACAATACAAAAACAAATGCAAATATTTAATTTTAAAAAGTAAAGTCCTTTTGAGTCATCTGTCTCAAGTCAAGTCTCAAGTCATGAATACCAAGTCAAAGTCAAGTCAAGTCTTTTATCAATGTTAGTCAAGCAAGTCTCAAGTCCAAAAATATGCGACTCGACTCAAGTCATGTGACTTGAGTCCCCCACCTCTGGTGTATACATACCTTAGTAAAAAGCGCTCAGAACAGGTGTTTTAAACTGAGTCTGGAGCATACAAAATCAGAATAGAAACTTAACATATGTATGATCCACAAAAAAGCTGGAACATAGACTTTCTACTATTCATTGTACACATGTCAGCAATTGATCTGCTTTACCAGTTTTTAGAGATAAGCGATTAAAATCCTGAGCATTTAAGGATCCATGGATTAACATCAGTAAATTCCTCATTATTCATAAGACATGATTTTAAAATGACACTAAACCCATCAAATTCATCAGATTGACCTGCTGATTTCCCTCTTCAGTCCAAAAAGCTGATAAAAGGAGCCTTTAGAAATGTATTCCATCTCCCTGCCTGGTATATGTTCAGACCCTGCACAACTCAAATTAAACTCTTCACTTCCACTTTAAGTATACACCCGACAGCACTCTGTGCTTGTAAACATCCATCATTAAGCAATTATGTTAATGACACTCGAAATCTCAATCGGTCGTTTCCTCTATGTAATCAGGCCTGCACTCAACAGAAGTGGGACATTTTGAGGAAATATTAATTTTCTTCCCAATAATTAAATGAGAAGTTTGAGCACTCTCGTTTGTATTGTATCAATCTTCTCATCTAACTCTTTGCAAACAAATAAAGGGAATGTATTACATTATTCTAAATAATTGTTCGATCTCCGTAATAAAAACTATGAACTATGTCAGAAAAATGTTGTTGCTTAGTTTATTATGATTGATCAAAAAAGTAGGTTGACTGTACCTATACTGTGCAGCTGATTACTGAAGAGTAATCTAAAGCACATTTTATTAATGAATTCCTTATGAAGCCTGCAGGGTGTCCTTACATCACAAGCTGGAGGATGGATCATCAATAATAGATGAGATATTAGCATTAAAATAAAAAGGACCAATATAAAACAGAAAATCTACAACAATCATAGAAAAAAGAATTTATTTTCTCATTTGAAAAAAACCGTTATGGAAACCCATAACCAGAAACTAATGCACAGCGAAGAGACAGACGTGTGAAAATACATTATGGACATACAGCTTTGGATAGCAGGAGCATTTTTTGTGTTTTTACGCCAATTCATGAGAGCAAAAAAACATCAAAGAAAAAGGAATTTCAGTGTTACTGAGAAAGGCTTATGTGCCTTCTTCTTGAAGAGAAGCAAACACAATACAAAGAGAAAGAAAATAAGCTGCAATAAAAAGGCATCAATCCCAAATCATCCCCCTCATCATCATCACAGTGAAACAGGGTTAGAGAGCACGGAGATACAGTGTTCAGGTTCCACTGTCTAGTCTGTGATGCTGCATTCAGGTCTCATGGGAAAAACAGTCGCTGACAGTATTGATAATACCATCATGTTTTGAATGGTAAATGCTGCTTAGGAGGTTACTGATACTTCAGTATTTTTAGTGCAAGAACAGACATACTTCTATCAATTAGGGCTGTTAATAATGATTATTTTCATAATCTTTTAATTTGTTGCTAGATAAAATGTCAGAAAATAGTTACAAAATATCTCAAGTCTCTCAAAGTCCAAGCTGATGTCTTTTAATGTCTTGAGTTGTCAAAACAAACCCAAATATATCCACTTGTATATGAAATTAAATAGATAAAAGCAGGTCATCTACATGTGTAGGAGAAAACAGCAATCTTTGCATAAAAAAACGACTTTTATGATTCATAAAATATCAAAATACGAATTAGTAAATAATAGTTGGTTGAATTATCGATAAGTCGACTAAGCAACCTTTTTCTACGAGTCATAGTTATTCATCAATCTTAGATATCATGGCACGCAGGACGTTCTGTGCTTGTTTCATCTCTGCTATATCATTTCCAAGCTGAGCGAACGAGTCAAGTGTGAAAAAGCTGGAAGCAATTCATGTGAGTAATTCAAATGTACTAGTAGTAATCACAAACGTTTCAACAGGTGTGAGTCTTTCAAGTCAGGACTTTGAACTGTCGGGATGTTGCAGTTGTATTTCCCATGGGACTTGAACACAGCACAGCATCAAAGGCTTCACACAAAGGTTAATTTGTTCCGTTCACCAAAAAAAAAGGCAATTTAAAAAGGTCAAACATTTGGAGTTTTCCTTTTTTTCTGGGCCTTCCTCACAGTTTACATACTAGCTGGTGGACGCTAAAGCTGCAGTGTTTGGAGCGGAGTAAAGCAGGTCAACATAAAACAGACTTCTACATGAAGGAAACCCCAAAGCATTACATCAACAAGACAGGAGGCAGTTTAACAGCTTTCTTTTAAAAAGGAACAGTTTGACATTTAAGAACATGTTCTTATTAGCTTTCTTGCTGAGAGCTACATGAGAGGATCGCAACCACTCCAAATGTCTGTAAGAATTAAGCTTCAACCAGCAGACGCTTAGCTTAGCATACAGACTGGAAACAGGTGGAAACAGCTAGCATAACTCTGTCCAAAGGTAACCAAATGTTCCTATAAGCGTCTTTTTAAATTAATATTTCATGTTCAATATTTATAAAGCAGAATACATTGCCCTGTGCGTCTGAAGAGTGCTGTATAAATAAACTTTGCTTCAATGCTAAGCTTATCTTTTCCAGCTTCATATTTAGACATGAATGGTTTTAATATTCTCACCAAACTCTCACCAAGAAAGCAAATATTCCATACAATTTGACACACAGTGTAGACACACAAAAGCACTGAAAGTACAGGAACGCACACTCAGAGACAGACGCAAAGACAGTTTGAAACACAAGGTTAAAAATTTCCTTTTGACTCGACATAAATACAGAAAACAGGAGAGCAAACAGTACACATCAACCTTCAGGTGGATTCACAGCTGGCTGGTGTACAGGTTCGAGACAGCCATTGTTTGTTAAGAGGAGACATGAGGTGCTGCGGTAACAGAAACACTTCCTTTTAAGTACGGGAGCTGTATCAATGTATTTCCATGCACCAATGAAATCCTCTATATTTAGATTTTAGTGTCTGTTCTTTCCACGATCCAGAATCTTCTGATGGCCAGAGAGCGAGATCAATTCCAGCCGATCCGTCTCTCAGTGGAGTGTAGTGGTGCACTTATATGTCAACAAAATGGAGGTGTACTCTGGGAAAGGCTCTTTTGGACCCCATTTAGACATGCAAAGCACAGCAGCCATTAATCAAGTCACCGTGGAGCCCAACATCTCTGAGGAACTGCTGTAAGGCTACATGTTATCTCCTCCCTGGTGAGTTCTCGGTCTCAGTGTGGGAGGAG